GGAATTTCCCAGATCAATGGTGTGAAGGTCTCATTACGCCAATTTTTAAGTCAGGAGATAAAACTGACCCCAATAACTACAGAGGAATTTGTGTGACTAGCTGTCTCAGTAAATTCCTTTGTACTATTTTAAATCAACGGTTAAGTAAATTTAGCATTGATAGAAACATAATTCACCCCTCCCAAATCGGATTCCAGTCAGGCCACAGAACAGCTGACCACATTTTCGTCTTAAAAACAATAATTGATAACTAAATCAGAAAAACGAAAAAATCTATGCATGCTTTGTGGACTTTAAAAAAGCCTTTGACTCTGTTTGGCACGAAGGCCTATTTTTAAAACTGCTTGAAAACAAAATTGATGGTCATTTCTACAACCTTATTAAAAGTCTATATTCAAGCTCTAAATGCGCCGTAAAAGAAAGTAAAATAAATCGAACTGAATTTTTCTCTTACTCCAAAGGAGTGCGTCAAGGGTGTATTTTGAGCCCCCTTTTACTTAATATCTATATAAACGAATTAGCAACATTATTTGATAATACAGCTGCCGATCCGTTTATACTACCAAATGGCACTAAACTGAGCTGCCTTCTATATGCCGATGACTTAATTTTATTATCTCGATCAAAATTCGGCCTACAAAAATCTCTAGACGATCTCCATTGTTGGAGAAAAAAATGGCTTATGGAGATAAATTTGAAGAAAACACAAATAATGATATTTGAAAAAAGAAAAACAAGAAAAGCAAGACCAATTTTTAATCTTGGAAATCGGAACATAAAAATCGTACAGGAATACTGTTACCTAGGAGTCAAACTAAATCACAATGGTAATTTTACTCTAGCTCTAAAACAACTAAGCGAAAAAGCCTTGTATGCTCTATACGGTATAAGAAGACAGCTCAATTTCAGCCATCTCAATCCCAAATATGCCATTAAAATATTTGATTCAATTATAACTCCTATCCTACCATACAACTCGGAAGTATGGGGGACATACGTGAAAAATGATTTCAACGATTGGGATAAATCACCAATTGAGAAAGTTCATCTTAAGTTCTATAAAATTTACCTCGCTATCAGTAGGAAAGCAAGTAACATTGCCTGCAGAGCTGAGCTTGGAAAACTCCCTCTCATCATTAACGTATTCAAAAGGGTCTTCAAATACATCACTCACTTAAACTCGCTTCCCCAAACAACCATTGTGAAGCAAGCTTTTCTAATCTCGAAAGATCTACACTCCAAGCAGAAAATATCTTTTTACGGAAATGCAATGGATACTATCAAAAATTTAAATCTAAATGAAGAAATCCTTAATTTAGAAGCCGTAACGACTGAACATATTAAAACTATTACCAAAACCCTTGAGGAAAAATACTTAACATTTTGGAAACATAAACTTGAAAATTCATCCAAACTGACTTTCTACTCAACATTCAAAACGGACCACAACCTCGAAAACTACCTAGTATTTATAAAAGATCCATACAAAAGAAGATGTCTTTCAAGACTTAGAGTCAGCAACCATGACCTCCAAATTGAGATCGGGCGCTATCAAAATATACCCCGTGAAGAACGCTTATGTAAAATCTGCAATTCAGGAGAGGTGAAAAATGAAACCCATCTCCTCCTCTCTTGCAAAGCCTATGAGCAATCTCGTGCAAACCTTCGAAGTTCATTAGAGAATGCTTCATCTGACGAGATTAATCTAAACTCTCAAACTCTATCAGCGGACCTAATGAAATCAACTGATAGTGAAATCATAACCAAACTTTCAAAATTTGTTCATTCATGTTTCAAGCAAAGACTTAAATACCTTGAAACCAGGAATGCGGATTAGCAAAGGTTGTAATAACCACCTTATTTGTAAATAGCATACTGTACTTGTCTTCTTTCTTTCCTCTTAATTTTTCTTAATATTGTATTAGTCTATTATAAATCATTCCACAAATAGTAATCTGTAATAGTCCTAGTTTATCATAGTTTCTTCTATATATTGTTTGTAATGCTTTAGCAATACTGTAAATTTATGGTCATGCTAATAAAGCTATTAATTACCTTACCTTACACCAAACAAATAATACTCCCTGACAAGGCAAAGATAACAATACCATAGCTGAAAAGAATGAAAAGCTCTGCAACGCAGTACGTGTCTACAAAAAAGCAGATTAGTTTTAAAATCAATTTGAGTAACAAGGGGAATAATCATCCAGAATAGCTGGAGGTATGCCCGCGAGCGGGCGCGGCAAGTAAGCACAACGAAAAATATCCAACAGGACAACAAGTAGCGTAATCGACAGCGCACCCAAAAACAAAAAAAAAACACGAGACGTAAGAACATAAAACGCAATTATTACGTAGACTACGAGAACAAAGAAAAGTGACTGAACACAATAAGCTACCCATGGGTGTGCCTTGATTGTCGGCCAAAACAATACATTACAGTACTCCAATTAACGATACAGGCACCTCTGGTCAGCAGCGTCCGGGAAACGCTGATATTACCCACACCTCCGCTGGTTTGCAATAACTGAAAGCATAGAATGTAAAGCAACCCATAGAAGCCAAAATAAGCATGCTGACACTCCCAGCAAGCGGGTTAGCACCAGCAGCACCCTCCCCCCTCCCCCCCAAGAAAACCAGTGCGGACAAGCAAAGTCCTCCCAAAAAAGGGACTGGATAGGTGGGGACGTTGTGAACTTGAAGTTAATTATTTTTATTGCATAAAATCATATAATAATAACAAACAGCGCCTTGATTGTCGGCCAACACAATACATTACAGTAGTCCAATTAACGATACAGGCACCTCCGGTCAGCAGCGACCAGGAAACGCTGATACTACCCACACCTCCGCTGGTTTGCAATAACTGAAAGCATAGAATGCAAAGCAACCCATAGAAGCCAAAATAAGCATGCTGACACTCCCAGCAAGCGGGTTAGCACCAGCAGCACCCCCCAAGAAAACCAGTGCGGACAAGCAACAAGCAAAGTCCTCCCAAAAAAGGGGCTGGGTGGGTGGGGACGTTGTGAACTTGAAGTTAATTATTTTTATTGCGCAAAATCATATAATAATAACCAACGTTGTCCTAAATATTTTCAAGTTTTGTTCTAAAATCAAAACTCTACACTCTCTCAAACGTGTGTTTCACGTCACGCGTGAATTGCGCGAGACTGTCTCGTTCCACGATAATTATACATACTCCTCAACTTGACAGATCAGAAATATGGAGGACGACGAAGAGATTTACGAAACGAAGGCTAAATCATCGACTTTCTCACAGAAAGAAATTGCGGTCAATAACAATATAACCTCAAAAGATCCGCGCTCCCAGAATGAAAGTACTTCCTCTCAACCCGACTCATTATCAAATATTACCCCAACTCATCATACTACAGCCAATACTACATCAAACATATTCATCCTAAAAAGATCTCCCGAAAGAAAACTATTAAACGCACGTTTCCTGGCAAAACCGCAGAACAAATAAAATCTGAAGTGGAATCTATGGAGGTTGAAGTACTTCCTTCACACATTATTGTACATGCTGGGACTAATGACCTTTCTGTGCAACCGCCGCATAATTGCGTTAAAAACATCGAGAATCTAGCTTTGTGTATAAAAAAGAAATTTACAGATTCAAGAATAGCAATATCCAGCATAACTGTCAGAAACGACTTGGATTTAAGCAAACAGATCTCCACTGCTAATGAAGAATTACAAAAAATGTGCTCTAAGAACGGGTTTGATTTTATTAAAAACAATAATATTGATGCTACATGCTTAAATGGCGGCCTGTTACACTTGAACTCAAAAGGATCCGCATTCTTGGCAACAAATTTTATTAAGTTCCTAAGGGGGAACATTCCAGCTCCATCAGAGTATCGCCAAAGGAAGAGAGGGGAGGATTTTCAAGGTCGCCGGACATATCAGAATCATTCACTAGAGGACCTACTGAGACTCCTATTACTCGCTCAGAGGACCGAGTATTAAGTAATGATTACAATCGGTGTGACCCTCCGACAGGTAAAATAGATGAATCTAATAATATATTTTCTGATTTAGATTGTTCTAAAGGCCTAAAAATGGCAAATTTAAATATTAATAGTCTTTTAAAAAGTATCGACCAGCTCCGTATCATTATGCAAAATAGCTCTATTGACATTCTGGCGATTAATGAAACAAAAATTGACCATTCAGTGTCTGATGATGAAATTAGTATACCTGGATATTATCATATCCGTAAAGATAGAAATAGGCATGGTGGGGGAGTGTTATTATATGTGCGAGAATCTTTACCATTTTCTGAACGAAATGACTTATTAATATCTGATTCGTTAGAAATGCTATGCATTGAAATTACGAAACCACACAATAAGTCATTTCTAATAGTTACATGGTATAGACCGCCAAATTCTGAGGTTAGTCTCTTTAATGAATACGAGACTTTTCTTAGAAAATGTGACTTGGAAAATATTGAAGTAATAATAATGGGGGATCTGAATTGTGATACCATAAAATGTCCTCCCGAAGCTCACACACGCAGACTACAATTTCTATCCTCACTTTACCAGTATAGACAACTTATTAATGAACCTACAAGGGTAACAAGAACATCAGCAACCTTAATAGACTTGATATTGACAAACAAAGAGGAAAATATTTCGAAATCTGGTGTTATTCATCTTGGAATATCTGATCATAGTTTGGTTTTTGCCGTTAGAAAATATTGTGTCACTAAATCTCGGCAAAAGACAAGATATGTTCGCAATTTCAAAAGATTCAATGCCAATAACTTTCTTAATGATCTTTCCCAGATGCCCTGGGAAAATGTGGCGCTTTATGATAACCCAAATGTTTGTTGGCGGGTATCGAGATCCCTTTTCCTACACGTCCTTGATTGGCATGTGCCCCTAAGACTGATGAGACTTAGAGGAAATTCTATTCCTTGGATTTCCCCTGATATCAAAAATCTGATGAGGGTTAGGGACTCTTACAAGAAAATGGCTGTTAAAAATAATTCCCAGATTCACTGGGAGAAATTCAAAGAAATACGTAACAAAGTCAATTCAGAACTAACTAAAGCTAAAACAGCATTTTTCTGTAACAAATTTGAGAACTGCGCACAATCGAAAGATATGAAACATAGTTGGAAGTTAATTAATATTCTCTTAGGTAAAAACAAAAAATCAAATAATATCTCTCAACTTAAATGTGATGATGTTGTGATTTCAGATGATACTTTGAAAGCTGAGGCGTTTAATGACTTCTTTGTTAACATCGGGGTAAATTTGGCTAATGAAATTGAGAACGATTCTCCATGTACGAACTTTTCAGATGATGAAAATTACCACTCTAACTATTACTCTAATATAAATTTTAAGTTTTCTGAAATTAGTATGGATGATATTATTTGTCAATTACGTAATCTTAAAATTTCAAAGTCTACCGGTATTGATAACATCCCTGCTATAGCTCTTAAATTGTCCGTGGAAGTTATTGGTCCTTCATTAACATGGATTTATAATCTTTCAATCAAAACTGGGATATATGTTGATGAATGGAAAAAGGCGTGGGTAATGCCAATTTTTAAATCTGATAATAGACAAAGATGTGAAAATTACCGACCGATATCTATATTGCCTATTGTCAGTAAAATACTAGAGAGATCGGTTTTCAACCAGATTTATAAGTTTTTGAATGATAATTCGCTGCTATCTAAACATCAATCTGGCTTTCGGCCTAAGCATTCAACTTTAACAACACTCATTCAAATGTGTGACACACTTTATGAGAACATGGATAATGGTCAGTTGAGTGGTGTTGTTTTCCTTGATATTAGAAAAGCTTTTGATTCTATTGATCATACAATCTTATTGCAAAAGATGAATGATCAATTTGGAATAAAAAATGTGGAACTGGATTGGTTTAAGTCCTATCTAACTAATAGAGAGCAAGCATGCATTGTCAACGGTGCAATGTCATCACCTAAAACGATTGTGTGCGGAGTTCCGCAGGGATCAATTCTTGGTCCCTTGCTGTTTTTATTATATATTAATGATTTACCCGAATGCCTCGAAAAAACTTCGCCACACCTATACGCTGATGATACTCAAATTTCTACTTCTGCCAAAACTATTGAGGAACTTACTGAAAATCTAAATAATGACCTGAAAAAAGTCGGTGAGTGGCTTGCTCGAAATAAACTGCAACACCACCCAACTAAGACCAAATTAATGTATATCGGTTCAAAGTATAATACTGATACTATGACTTATGATATTCCAGTAATGATGAATAACCAATTCATAACTCTTGCTCATTCATACACATGCCTTGGGGTTAAACTTGATGAAAACCTTAATTGGCATGAGCATGTTGAAATGATTTGTAAGAAAGTTGGGGCCGGCATAGGAGCAATGCAACGAATTAAGCCATATGTTCCTATAAATACCCTGCATACCATTTACAGAGCTTTGATAGAACCGTATTTTGATTATTGTAGTCCATTATGGGACGTCTGTAACCAACAGCTGAAAGATAAGCTTCAAAAGTTCCAAAACCGTGCAGCGAGAATTATAACCGGCGCCAGCTATGAAATAAGGTCTGCTGATGTTCTTCGATCCCTTGCTTGGGAAAATTTAGAGATAAGACAACGTACAACTAAATCCACATTAATGTATAAAGTCCTGAATGATTGCGCTGGGCCGAACTTGAAGGATGCTCTAACGAGAAGGGACCTTGTTCAAACCAGTTATAATCTTCGCAATACTTATACTGACCTTACCCTTGCTAAGCCAAAACGAGAATTTCTAAAAAAAAGCTTTAAGTATAGCGGAGCTAAATTGTGGAATAGTCTTCCTTCTGATGCGAAGCTAGCGCAATCAATTTATTCTTTTAAAAACTGCCTGAAAGTTTCACGCTAACATCTTCTAATATACTGTATATGCATGCTTTAGAAATATGGGTCACACCGTTTGGAACTTAATTCTTGTATTGTAAATAGTTGTATATAATTCTTTATTCTTTTCTATATCATATTTGTAATTTTTAATAGTAACAGACGTCCCTCGTGAAAATCAACAAATCGTTGACGAGGCTAACGTCTTTAAATAAAGTTTACATACATACATACATACATACATATCTGTCAATATAACTAAACAACAACAATTAAACTATTTCAGTACATACAGTTTCAGTCCATGTTTTCTGCATTTGCTTTTTGAACAAAGGTGATTGGAAACCCATTAGTATCTTCATGTTCAAGTTTGCTGTCTTTCAAATCAACGGGATATAATCTCTGTACCGCTCTTCTAGTTGTTGCGAGTTTTCCGACTTTATTGGACATTCTTACTGTTGCAGATCTAACGTTCCAAATCTGCGTGGGTTTTCCTCTTCGAGAAACAAAGCGACGAAGTGTAGCAAGGAATGCTTCCGCCGAGAGGTCTCATACTAATTCGATGTGGTTACGAGGCAAACAAAAACTGCTACATAG